ATTTGCAGAAAGGGTGAGGTGACTGACCCCTTTGGTTCCTTGGGACTGTTGAGGGCTTGTTGTTGCTCAGAACTGATGGTGACCTTTGTTTCAGAAGGACTGACTACGTAGTCCGACCTAGCACTGGAGAGGAGAAACGCGTGTTTCAGGAGCAGGTAAGAATTAGTTTTAAACACACATGTGGAAACAGTTGGCCACTAAAGTGAGACAATTTGTATGGGACGGCAGTGTTTTATACTCTACACAAACTCTGTTAATGTAAAGAATTAGTAGGTTTCTTCTGCCTTGAAGGCCTTGTCTTGACCTTACATAAACCTTGCTAACAATATAGCCTGTATTTCCAATGGTCATTGGGCAAAATTAATTGAAATTGATAGTGTCGACCTTTCTGTCTCCTCTGCCATCCCCAGCATATGAGGATGACTCATTTCTATAGTTTTGGGGCACGTATGAGTGCAAGCAGAAGACAAGTGGCGATAAGCGTACCCCTACACTTAGTTCTCTTGTCTGTAGGAGATGCAAGTGTGTGTTGTAGGGTAAACACATGATGACAATTCTTCTCCCTGGGGTGCATGTGCTGTGTGGGTGGTAGAATATCCAGGTTAAATTTTTGAAATCTCTGGACGGATTAGAGGAGGAAGAAGGGGCTGCTTGTTGCTGGGGGAAGGGGTGTTTGCTGGGCAGAAGATGTATCTCTGGCACCTCTCTAGTCTGTGCAGCTGCTTAACAGTGAACCTAATGTATTGCACCTGCACGCTTTGGTGGTGCTTTATATTCTGCTTGAAGTAGTTCGTGCTCGTCTCGATCCAAAATACATTTATACAGCAGTATTTGAGCCTTTAAATAAAACTTTCTCTGGAGAATGACAATAACTCGTAATATAAACGTAGCACAAGCTTTAAGACTTTGCCCTATATGTTTCCTGCTAAATTCAGCCCTCTGTATTTCCAAATACAGGAACGTTACCGTTACAGCCAGCCCCACAAAGCTTTCACTTTCCGTATGCATGGCTTTGAGTCAGTTGTTGGTCCTGTGAAGGGGGTGTTTGACAAGGAAACCTCATTGAACAAAGCCCGAGAGCATTCTCTCCTGCGCTCAGACAGACCAGCGTATGTCACCATCTTGTCCCTTGGTAAGGTGATGGCCAAAAAATTTTTTTGAAAAAAGAAAAGGGCTCCCGTGACTGCCCAAACAATGACTTCAGGAATCTACATTATAAAGGGAAAAGCTGGACAGAGTGGGGTGACATAAGCGAAAAAGAAATAAATTATATGGAACAGAGGTGATGAAATGCTGGGAGGAGGAATAACCAGAAAAGAAGGCATCTGTGTTGCTGTTGATCTGAGGTAAAATGGGAAATAGAGAGAAGAGTCCCTGGAGTTGGCTGAAGCTAAGGCTCAGATAACTGGTAAAATGGGAAATAGAGAGGAGTGTCCCTGGAGTTGGCTGAAGCTAAGGCTCAGGTAGCTGGAAACCAAAAGAGTGGTGCTTTCAGTAAACTGTTGTGAAGTTGGGGCATTGCCAAGTCATACTGGGGTTCAGTGCTGTTCCCCAAGTTCATCACTCCTAGCACAAAGCCAGCACAGTTGATATACTTGAAAATGGTCCTTTATAATCTCTGCTCATATCTGAGGGATCACAGGGGCTAGATTTTGGTGAGCAAGTAGGCACTATGGGGCCAGAGGTAAGAGAGCAATACCGAAACGTATCTGCCAAAGTACTTGAATGCAGCTACCTAGTTACGGCTGGAAGTCTAAGCTCTGATTTTGTATTTCAGTTCGTGATGCTGCTGCTCGCCTTCCTAACGGAGAAGGAACTCGTGCTGAGATCTGTGAGCTGCTTAAAGATTCCCAGTTCCTAGCACCCGATGTCACAAGTGCTCAAGTAAGTTGGATGTCATGTCTAGCCTCACATAGCCTAAAAATACACTCTGCAGACCCGGGCAGTATTCAGCGGCTGAGGCCAAATAATTTTTTATGCTGCTTTGACTAGCAAATGAGAGCTATCTTCTACTCTGGTGAGCTGCTGCAAATCTGCACCGAACTTTGGATGGTGAAAAAACAGCTAGAAAAGCCACAGAATTAACACTGTGTCATATAGCTGCTCACATTTTAGATTCAGAAACAGTTGATTTTCAGAGCTCTTGGCTTTGGTGGAAGCTCCATTTGATCCAAGGTGGCGAACAGCATCCTGTGCTGCAACATCTGCTCTCAGTCAGTTCTTACACAAATGGATTGCTAGCAGCTTACTCAGGTTTTATGCCAAATAGGACTACTTCTCTGTGAATTCTGGCTAGCCCAACCAAGGACATCTTGTAATTCCGTGAATTCTGAACTTTCAGGTTAATACTGTTGTTAGTGGTGCTCTGGATCGATTACATTATGAGAAAGACCCCTGTGTGAAATATGACATTGGACGCAAGTTGTGGATCTACCTGCACCGGGACAGGAGCGAGGAAGAGTTTGGTAAGCCTGGCTTGGTGCTGTCTTAAGAATTGAAAGTGTTAATAAATCTGCTGAGCTTCTTCAGTCCAGCTGGATAATGAACATTAATTTGTCAGTCTAGCTTTTTCCTCTAGTCCCTTTGCTGATGTTAGCCCATCAGCGTTTAAATCCGGTCTTGCAGAGCAGTGTGTCCGTTTGAAGTATTTGTTAGAAAAATAGCATCCCGTGTACAAGAACTGCAGATGTAGATGTACATTTGCAACTTCTTATGTGTCCTTGTTTCAGCTTTTTTGGCTAATTTTATTTGGTATTTTTCTGTGCACTATTACCTGACAATGTGTGTCTGATTTCCTGTCTGAGGATGAACTTACAGTTCTGAACTGGCCTCGTAAATCGGTTTGCTTGTGTTCAGGGACTCTCACCATTAATTTGTATTTGCAGAACGGATCCACCAGGCTCAAGCTGCTGCAGCAAAGGCCAAGAAAGCTCTTCAGCAGAAGCCCAAACCTCCGGCTAAAATGGTAAATTTCTTTGCACGGGTGCCTTTGGGATTGGGAAGGAGGCACGGATTTAACTTAATCCATAAATTCTGCATCCTTAGCGACTGATGAAAATTACCACCTGTTTGAGTTACCACTTCATTATGTTTATGAATGTCGGTGTTAGCCTAGTGCCAGTGCACAAAATGGAGTGGGAAAGAGGGGACTTTTACACCTCCCGGCTTCCACTGTTAGCCTTGTTGATCTCAGCGCAAAGATTAATGGAATTCATTTCTGCTCCCTATCTTAGGGATGATCTTTCAGATCTAGTTTTGTGGTTAATCTGCAGCAGTGTGTAGAACATGTCCTGTTGCTGTCCCCCTTGTTCTGTTGAAGCTGTCAGGGTTTGGATGTCTTTTTTTTTTTTTTGGTATTGATACCAAATATCTCCAAATTAGTTGCTGTTGGCAAATTAACCAAGGTGGAAATCTACATGTTATGAATGTTTGTTGCTGCTGAGATGCACTATTCCCTGAGAACAGGAGCAGCCAAACACGCCGGCCTGCTTGTGGCTGCAGTTGAGGAAAGCAGACAGTCTGTGATTTCGGGATTTAGCACCAGGGCATCATTCATAATTATACAGAACTCAGCTTAAAGTGCTCAGCCCACTCTCTAGAGTGCAGCAATCAAACCCAATTTTTGTAAAGACCTTCATGCTTGACGTGGTTTCTTTGCAGAAGTCTAGTAGCAAGGAGAGCTCTGTGAAAGCACTCCCCAGCAGCACTTCAGAGCCCACTCAGCTGAGCCTCAGTGATTCCAGCATGCCACCAACTCCCGTGACTCCCGTGACACCAACTGCACCAGCATTACCAGCAACGCCTATTTCGCCCCCACCAGTGCCTGTGGTTAGCAAGAGTGTGTCTAGTGCTGGATCAGAGCCAGCAAAACCCAGCCAAAGGTACTTCTTCTGTCTCGTACATCGCCTGTGAATGTTACTGGTTCTTTCTCAGTTGTCTGCCTCGTTGCTGACCTGCTGGCTTTTATCTTTCTTGTAGCGTTCTTCTGGTGTCATCCCCTACCATGCCACAGCTTGGGACGTTGCTTTCCACAGCGCAGAGTTCGCAGACCCAGCCGGGGCCGCAGCCACCTCCCACCCGGGTGGTAAGTCATACCACCTCCTCGGGACTGCCGCAGGTCCGGGTGGTCACTGCCCAGTCCAGCCTCCCAGCTGTGTCTCAGCAAGCCCCAGTGGTCGCCCAGCAGCAGCAACCTACGTCAGTGCCTCAAATCCGCGTTCCAGCTACAGCCGCGCAAACCAAAGTGCTCCCTCAGGTGAGTTTGGCTGCATGGAAGTGGTGGAGTAGCTCTGATTTCCAATCTGACTTCTTTTAGGATTTCGGTGTGGTGCACGGGGGTTACTTGCTTACTTGGAGCACGCAGTAACTGCAGGGCAGGAGCGTAGAAATTTGTGCAGTTGTGCATAAATAATACTGTTCGGTGCTCTCTTTTTCCTCCCTAATGCCTCTTTATGTGGCACCATGAAATGGTGCATTGCAGTAAAAAGTCCATAGAACTTGCAAGCTGTAAGGCACGAGACAAAAAGAGTAAATTATTAGTCTGTTAGTGTTCTGTTAGTCTGCTCATAGGCTGCTTCTGTGTTGTTCTGCAGGCTGTGGTGACTCTGCCGGTAAAAGCTCAAACCAGCCCAGTGCAGGTGCAAAGGCCAGGAAGCTCCGCGACAGGACAGACAGGCATCACTGTGACGGGACTGTCTGCAGCGCCCAGTCCCACTGTAAAGCCAGTTACCAGCTCTCCGGGCAGTTCTGCTACAAGCACCTCCTCTACCACTGTCATCCAGAATGTAGCTGGCCAGAATATCATCAAGCAGGTGAGGGAGAGACGAGGAACTGGGCTCCACGACCCAGTCGTTGCCTGTTTGTTGTGGCAGATGTGAAAAGACAGTGAAACCTGTAGTGAGCCATAATGCTGTGTGAGTTATTGACCATAGAGATTTAGGCAGGCACTGGTTTGGTGTATCTGAGCCCCATTTTCACTTACAGGTGGAAGATGTGCTAGTCCAGGGTTAACCATCTTCAGATGTCGATCTCATTTTCATTCCTCTTGTTTGAAGAAGTAGATCCACAGTATTTTATATTTTACGCGGTTTGGGGAATGCCCAACCAGGGCTTATTTTCAGTAACGATCTGAGTGCTAGCGTCATGCCGCTTCAGTTCTGATGGGAGCAAACGTCCTGTTGGGAAGTTTTACTCTGACTGTGCCTTGGGCTGTGTCCTGGTTTGATACAGCCGTTTCTCTGATCTCTTCCAGGTGGCTATCACGGGACAACTTGGCATGAAGGCCCAGCCTGGAAGTGGCATCCCACTCACAGCGACCAATTTTCGGATCCAAGGCAAGGATGTGTTGCGCCTACCCCCGTCCTCTATCACCACAGATGCAAAGGGACAGACTGTGCTGCGTATCACCCCGGACATGATGGCCACACTGGCCAAATCTCAAGTCACTACTGTCAAACTGACTCAGGACCTCTTCACGGCAGCTGCGGGAAGCAGTGCTAGTGGGAAGGGCATCTCTGCAACTTTGCACGTCACATCCAATCCTGTCCAGACTGCTGATTCTCCAGCCAAGACTAGCACGGCCACTTCTGCGTCTTCCAGCCCAGCTGGAAGCACCGTGGTTAAAGTGACTCCCGACTTAAAGACTGCAGAGCCAACAAGCTCCGCTTTCCGCCTGATGCCTGCTCTGGGCATGACTGTGGCAGATCAGAAGAGCAAAGCCATAACTACGGTGGCATCCACTGAGGCCAAGCCGGCTGCTACTATAAGAATCGTGCAGGGGCTGGGGGTGATGCCGCCCAAAGCTGGGCAGACTATAACAGTAGCTACTCACGCTAAGCAAGTGCCCTCTTCCTCAGCAGTGAGCGTGCCCGGCACAGTCCATACCTCAGCTGTCTCTTTACCAACCATGAGCGCCACAGTGTCGAAAGCAGTTGCTGTGGCCTCGGGAGCTGCTGGGACTCCCAAAACTATAGGCACAGGAGCCACTGC